TCCTATGTGATGATGACTGCATGGTCACCACAGAGACAAAATGAAAAAATGATTTTGTTTAGATCTTATAAAAAATAAAGTCTAACAAAATACACGAATAAGGTCAGTCAGGTTCCCTGTTTAAACCTGAATGGAGCAGTCATTTATTTATAGTTTATTGAGGTACAGTCACATAACACCGTTTTTGGTATTAAGAATTAAGTGCAGGGACTCATACATGTTAGGCAAGTGCTCTACCACTTGCCCTGGCCCATTTGCTTTGGTTATTTTTTCAGATAGGGTCTCACTTTTTGTCCAGCCCAGCCTGGACCACAAACCTCCTATTTATGCTTCTTGAATAGATGAGATGACAGGTGCATACCATCATATCCAGTTATTGATTGAGATGGGCCTTGCTAACATTTTGCCCAATCTCCACCTCTTGAGTAGCTAGGATTACACATGTGAGCCATTGTGTCCAGGCTCTAACATAGTTTTTAGCACTGAAATCCTTGTTCTTTACAAACTTGCCTTTGTGGATTTATGATATTTTTCCCACCTTGTAGCAGCCCCTGGTGTCCTCTGACCAATTTGCTTCGATGGGAGGTGACATCAGTAACCAACTCTCTTAAGTTGGCCTATTTCTCATTGTCTGGCAGAAGTGCTTTGAAAAAGTTTGGGCTCATGATTGTTTTCCCAGGTTCATATTACCACTTCTATGGCATCTTAGGATGAGGGGAGGAGGCAGTTGAATTTTGTGCCCTGTCAGGCCTGAATGAATTACTTGACCCCTAAGAAGCCATCCCAGGGAGGGGCCTCCTAGGGAATGAGGTTTCCTCCATCACTGCTCGTCTGTTTCAATTCTGCCTTTAAACTGGCAGAACAGAAGTGTAGCTGAGACATAGCCACATGCCAAATGTTCCCATTCATTTCCACTAGAGTCAGAGCATGGTTGCACATGGCAGGCCTTCCAACATGGTGGAGGGTATTTTTCTGATGGTTTGCCGCACAATTTGCATCACAGGCTTTCCACCTTGCAAACATGAGGCTTGGCTACCTGCGTCTAGACTGCTGAGCCACGGTGTGCTTTACATTCAGCATCTTACTTTCAGAAAACAAATTTTGTTTGGGATCTAGACTTAGATCTATGCATTGGACATCTATCCCAACAGTGGTAAAGAGAAGATAATTTCTTTCTCATACAACATTCTGGAAGCAGATGGCTAAGTACTGGCTGTAGGATCTTTATGCTGCATTGCCCCACTACTCTGGCTTTTGTCTGTACTGTTGAGCATGGAAACAGGGGAGACAGTCATTCCTTCCTCCCTCCCTCTTGGGGTGTTTGTGCAGAAGTAACACAGGCTCCTTTCCTCTCTCAATCACTAGACTGTCTCACACATCCAACCTGCCACAGGGCAGCGGGACAAGACTCTTTCTGTTCTGACTCCCATATACTTAGGGAAAATGTATGACTCTATGATGCTAGAACTGAGGTCTGAAAACTACAGCCTTATCTGCTGCCTTTTTTGTGTTAAGTATGAGATAAAGTTGGTCTTATATTTTTAAATGATTATTTTGAAATTCTTTTAAAAGAGAAGGATAAGTGGGCCACATGCAGTATATTCTCTACATTGTAGGAAGTTTGAGGTGCCAGCTCTGGAAAGAGTGGGTACAGGTGACGGTGCTGGTAAGCAGCCTCTGCTGACTGATCTGAGAATTCCATGCACTGGGGTGGGAAGGCAGGGAGCTAGAAGGCCTCATTAATATTCTTTGGAGAACATAATCCTCTCTTCTTAATGAAGTGTATTGAAAATCTCTCTCCAAGTCAATAGCAAACAGTGTCCATCCTCTCCCTGCCCCCAAACTTAAGCCAGGAGAGCAAAAACTCAGGAGGCCTGAGGAGGAGAGATCCTTGCTCTCTGTTCCTAGATGCACATGATGGGCCTCTAAAGGAGGCTGCAGGAACTTTCCTTGTTGGTCCAATTCACGCTTTGCTCCCTTGTTGGATAACATCAGTCCTGGTTGGCTGGATGAGATAATTTAGATATGGCAGGTGGAATGCTAAGTGATCCTGGCTACGTTATGAATGCTGGATGCTGATGACAGTCAGCATGTCATCAAATATGTGCAGGATAGGCTTTGGTAAATATTCTGTCTTGTTTCCAGGCACAGTGGCTCACACCTGCAATCCCAGCTACTCAGGAGTGAAGATTGGGAGGTTAGCCCAGGCAAAATGTTAGTGAGATCCCATCTCAACGAACAAGTCAGACACAGTAGTGTGTGTCTATCATTGCAGCTACATGGGAGACATAAATAGGAGGCTTGCCATTCAGGCCAGCCTGGGCAAATGTGAGACCCTATCTGAAAAATAACTAAAACAAAAAAGGTTGGGGGCATAGTTCAAGTGGTAGGATCCCCACCTAGCAAGCAGGAAACCCTGAATTCAAACTCCAGTACTGCAAAAAAACCAAAAAACATCTTGCTTATTCCTATGTATGTGACTCTTAGTCGCCTTCCAAAACATTCATTGATCTATGACCTACTCTGCTGTTGAGCAGTTAGCTCTAGTGCTTGGCTTTGAACTATTATTCTTCCTTTATCAATCCTTGATCTTGTGGGTGGAATTTTCTTCACTGAACTTCCTGAAAACAATCACAGATCACAGCTACTTGTCTCAAAGAAGAAAACACATTCCTTTTTAAATAGAAACTGGCAGCTACCATGTGTTTGAGGACCACTTTCTCACTAGTTTTCTTGGTGCATGCTGAGTTCCTGAGAGACTTTACTTGAGTCTCAGTTTTCTCACCTGTGTACTGGGAATGGTATGTGTCTCCCATAGGGTTGTGATTGGGGGGAGGAAGTGGGACACTGGTTAGGTGTATAAAATCTTTAAAAATGAGCTTCTCTTCCTCTTGTCATTGCAAGACTCAAGCATTAAAGTGATCAGAGTTCCTGTGTCTGATCAGGGTTGCCAGGAGCTTAGGATAGCCAGAGAGGGGCAGTGGAGCATAGACATATAGCCAGAACCATTGATGTAAATTCCCTTGGGGGCCTGCTATGGGCTGAATTATGTCCCCTACACAAGAGATATGCTGGAGTCCTAACCCCAGAACCTCAGAGATATTTAGAGGTAAGTTCTTACAGAAGTAAACAAGTTACAATGAAGTCATTAGGGTGGGTTCTAATCCAATGTGACCAGTGACCTTATAAAGAGGAAATTTGAACATGGAAACAAACACTCCACTATCAGAGATGATGTAAAGACTCAGGGAGGATGTCATCTACAAGCCAAGAATGTCTAAGGCCACCAGAAAGTAAGAGAGCAGCCTGGAGAGATTCTTCCTCATGGCCCCCAGAGTGAATTAACACTGTTAACACCTTGATCTCAGACTTCGGTCTCCAGAACTGTGAGACCAAACATTCCTGTTGTTTTAGGCTCCCCAGCTGGGCACATTGTTACGGCAGCTGCTCTTGCAAATGAAAATGTGCGTGATCTGTACTGAGGCAGAGAATGGTCCCACAAATCCTCTGTGTTTTAGCTTCGGCCATTTGCTTTGTGCTACTGTGTTACAGCAGCCACAGAACACTAATTCAGGACTAACCAGAAGCAGCAGGATTCTAGGAAGAGGCATTTCAAGGAGACTATGGGAGCAGATGGGAGCTGCGGGAGCTCCTGGCTTTGCTGGTGACATGCGATTTCCTATGTTCCACACCTGAGATGTCTCTTCCAAAACAAGTAACTCAACAGTACCTTAGGAAATTCTTTTGCATCTGAAAAGTTGACAAGATTGAACTGTTAAAAGACAAAATTAAATTTAGTTTTATAGATTTTAGTGGGGTTTCATTTCAATTTTAGAATAGGGCAGCAGCCTGAACAACAACAAAAAATGGCTCAGAGTGCCATTTGTAGGGTTACATTTGTAGCCAGAGAAAAAGAAGGGACCTACAAACCCCAAATGTGTGGTACTGGAACATGATTGGAACATGTTGGCCACTTGCAACTGTTACAGGTGTAGGTTGCCATTTGTTTCCACATCAACTTGCATTACAGTTCACTATGTAAAGAGAAATTTTTAGGCTAAACTTAAAATATGTAATGGCAGTAGTTTTAGAGTGCACTTAGTAGGACCCAAGAGTTTAGTCATGATAAGAAAGTGGGTTGAGTTTGATGGATGAGAATACGATACTTACCAAGGTTGGGATTGTGGAGAGGAATGTGTGGTGACAGATTAAAGTCACCTGGAAGTCAGCCGTGGCCGCTGTTCTTCTCTGGGACACCCATCTTTGATCTGCCTCCAGTTTTACTGACCACATTGACCTTTTTTCTTCTGTCTTTTGGTCAGGTCAGGTGGATGTAGCCTTCCCTGCACAGGGTTGGCATCTGTGAGAATGTGGCTTCTGAGGTGTTTATTATGATTTCTAAGAGGAGAAAGAGAGATCAGAGACTCACACAGAGTGATCATTACATACATTTTTGGGGGGCAGTACTGGGATTTAGTGGTACAGGGCCTCATGCATGCTGGAGAGGTGCTCTTACAGCTTCATCCACTCCGCCAGCCCTTTTTTTTGTGATGAACGTTTTGGAGATAGGGTCTCGTGGTCTATTTGCCAGGGCTAGCTTCAAACTTTGATCATCATAGTCTCAGTCTCCTGAGACAGTCGTGTGCTCATTTCTTAGCTATTTGTTACATAAATAAATATTTATTGCATGTTTAATGCATGTGCCAGGCATTATTATGGCAGGGAGAATATCATGGAAGCAATATGAAAAACAATGCTGCCAGGTGTGTAAACAGAGAAGGCCTTTTGGCATTTTGGCAAATGCACTCATGGCCCTGTAATCCTGGCACATGACCTCTAACTGAACGATTCAATTCCAAGAATTTATTCTGAGTGAATGTCCAGAGATGTTTGCAAAGATTTATGTGCTGGGGGTTCACAGTCACTTTATTAACCACAGAAGCGCCTGCTCGGTGCCGCAGCGCACGTGTTGTCGCTCCAAGTGCTTGTCGAGTCAAGTGATGGCCGAGATGCAGACTCAGAGCACCGGGGCCGAGGACGGCTTCACCCAGATCACCCGCAAGGGTGGCCGGCGAGCGAAGAAACGACAGGCTGAGCAGCTGACCGCAGCGGGGGAAGACGGAGACGTGGGTGACATGCACGCGGAGGAAGCCCGGCCGTTGAAAAGGCCCGTCTTCCCTCCGCTGTCTGGAGACGTATTTCTGAGTGGGAAAGAAGAAACACGGAAAATTCCAGTCCCAGCTAATAGATACACACCACTAAAAGAAAACTGGATGAAGATATTTACTCCTATTGTAGAACATCTGGGACTTCAGATACAGTTCAACTTGAAATCAAGGAATGTAGAAATCAGAACTTGTAAAGACACCAAGGATGTTAGTGCTCTGACAAAAGCAGCTGATTTTGTGAAGGCCTTTATTCTTGGATTTCAGGTAGAGGATGCACTTGCCCTCATCAGGCTTGATGACCTCTTCCTGGAGTCTTTTGAAGTTACAGATGTTAAGCCCCTGAAGGGAGACCATCTATCCAGAGCAATAGGAAGAATCGCTGGCAAGGGAGGAAAAACCAAGTTTACCATAGAGAATGTGACACGGACACGAATAGTTTTGGCAGATGTGAAAGTTCACATCCTTGGCTCTTTCCAAAACATTAAGATGGCAAGAACTGCTATTTGCAACCTCATTCTGGGAAATCCTCCATCGAAGGTTTATGGCACTATTCGAGCTGTGACTAACAGATCAGCAGATCGGTTCTGATTTTAAATCAGAGATTTTGTATCTTATCTTTGGACTTTAAAGAAAAAGACCTTATACCCTGCAGGTGTTCACAGGAAACCTTGTGAAGAATTTTTCAGTCACTTTAAGCCTGGGTGCCTTCCTTCATTCTCAGCAGTAAAAACAGAAAGGAAGGGTTTAATACTATTCATACCCAACAGTTTACAGGACAGTTTAAATAGCAAGGTCTGTTATACTTACACATTAAGTATAATTTATCATATTTTTCACTTTAAATCACATGTAGCAGCTTTGCAGTTTAGAATCCTCATTTAAAGGAAACTTGCTTAAGTAGTTTTTGTATGAATTTTTAAGCTTTTTATTTATAAATTTATAAACAATTCTTCTCTATAGTTGTAATTAAAAGAATTATCTCAGAAAACCTATGTGTCCTTGTGTGAATATTATAGAACTAGGTAATAAACAGTAGTTTTGGCTACATTATATTAACCAATAAGTGCTAATGTTTGTACCTGTTTTTCAGTTTGTAAAATGAAAGACTTGCATCATAAAGTTGTTGTGGGGAGAGTTTTATTTTTCAAATAAGTATTTCATGAAAGTAGTCAGGCATTACCAACATTTGATGTACTTCTTCAAGCAGTAAAGGTAATAAAGTGGTAGAAGAATGTGTCGCTCCCCCCAAGAAAATGACTATGTTCTCCAAATGCAATAGGTTAACTACTGTCTGCCTTTTTAATATGACCTGAGTATTTTTTGCAGTTTTAGAATGATAGGAACCCACTTTATTAAATGTAATTTTGATACTGCATTCTTCTGTACATTTCAAAAACTTTAATGGTGGAAGTATGGGAAAATTCATGTAAGAGCCAAAAGAAAAACCATTCTTACTAAGCTTCTGTTTCCTCTGTGTCCCTTACATGTGCTGCTGTCCAAGCTACATTGTATATTGTGTGGGATTGGAAATGCTTAGAAAGGAAGCCAACTGGAAAATGATGAAAATAGCCCACCAAAGATAGTTTTTTAGCTTTTGGCAACACAACAGCATGAGGAAAGTGTGTGATGGTATCAGATTCCTTTACTCCTGTTGAAAAGAAGAATATGTTGGGACTTCCTTATTCTGGAGTCTGTGTAGCATTAAGGCAATTCTGGCCCACAGTCCCCCTTGGTCCAGGAAGATATATTCAAGATCATGACTACTGCTTAGTATGTGCTTTTCTGTGAAATAAGATCCATAGCTTATATTGGGTGTTCAAAGCAGTTAGGCTGGAATGAACCATTACTAGGTAATGTTGACTTCTAAGGAACTGAAGCAGAAAGTTAAGAACATATTTTTGATTGGGAAAATTTGGGTTCTCTGTTAAAGTGAAATAATGTTTTGGTATTGTTTGAATTTATTTCCTTTTGAAGCTTCTTATGTAGTTAAGACTATCAGTAATACAAAAGATGTATTTCCTTAGCAGTTGCAAAAATTTCGGTTACTAACTTTGACTCAAGGATTGTTTTGGGCGTGTCTGTATTCAAATGATTTTATCTCCCCTTCCCTAAGGAGTAGTGCAATTTGGGGTTTGAGAGGGAGATGAAATGTTAGAGGGAACTAATTTTTAGAATAGGAATGGATGAAGAAGGAACAGAGGTAATAAATTTGACTATCACACTGGTAGTTAACAATCTGAATCAAATTATTTTTTTAAACTGCTCTAAGGCCAAGACACTAAATCTTATCCGTGCTTATCCATGTATCTTTGGCACTTGTCATGCTGTTGTGTCTGTCACTCTAAGGCCTCATGGTCTTTGGAAACTATCACAGCTCCTGACCTACTACAATTTACTGATACACATTCCCTTAGGGATGAGCCTGAGAGAGAATTGTATTTTCTTAGGTATTCAGTGGCTTGGGGATTCCTAGTCATCCCAGATTTGGGTTCTAATTCCCATGCTGCCAAGAATTGGGATGGTAGAAAGAAAGTTCATGTTGAACATGTGGGAAGAGACCTAATTGTCCGGATCCTAGAGACACGGTAACCATGTTAAGATTGGAACAGCATCCTTAATGTGAGGCTACTGGCACTAACAACATACAAACCATTCTAGATCTTGCAAAATGCTTACATATTGTGCAAATATCAATTCCTTATTTGGTCACAGAAACCATTAAGGCTTCAGGAGGCTTGAGAGAGTAAGGACTCCCCCATTTCTTCTAGTTAGCTGATAAAAGCCCAAGAGATGTGAAATGTTGAAATAGCATTGGACTTGAAATGTTCAGCTAATGCAATGAAAGAATTATGAGTGTGTGAGAGTTCTCTGAAGACTAAAGACTAATGTTTCAAGACGTGAACTTTAACACCATTTTCTTTGTAGTCCTGGAACTATCCACAAAGATTAAAATTCATTTTTACATTACAAAAAAAAAATTAACCACAGAAAATACAATACATGATCCCCAGAATCCCACAGTGCAGGCACAGAAGGTTCGCTGTGTGCCCACTGGGGCATCTTCATCCTTGTGTCCCTATAGCATTTCAATACTACTCAACTCATAGAGTTAAATTTCACACAGTTAATATGAATAAGTACATTTAACCATGTGGGCAAGCGTCCATATAGGATTAAGTGAAAGGCCTGGCTAAACCATTTCAGTATCTGTATCAACTTTAGGAAAATTATTGGTTTCATAAGCACCAGGTTGCTAATAGAAGTCATCTCTTGTCATCTCTTCTTGTCATTGTCCCCCACTGTTTTTGTCTGAAGAACACACACATCCTTTTTGATCAGAAAGAAAAGATTCCATGGTTTTAAAGTACAACAATGAGCACACCATACCGTAGAGTCACGTAATTTATGACTAAATAAAATTGTTGTCACTTTCATTTGCAGATCTATGTAAACTGCAAGAGAACACTGCACTAAATGTAAGCCGTGCTTATGTGATATTAATGCAATTTGAATTTATAATTGGTAAATGTGGTAAAATGTCCTTTGGAAATACTGATATACTTTAATTTCTATGGAGTTTTCACACAGAATTTTGTTTGAAAACAGTATAGAAGTGGTATTTAACTTTCATTGGAGTGAAATGCAGCTATACTTATAATTTCTCTTCCATGGAATAATCCTATTTTTAATGTTTCTTATTAAAATTGTATTTGTTAAGTTTGATCTGGAATATCTTTCAAAGGCTCATGTGTTGAAGGTGTGGTCCCCAGTGCAGCAATGTTAGAGGTGGGGTTTTTAGGAAAAGTGACTGGATTTTGAGGCTCTGTCTCATCACTGGGTTTTTCCATTGATGAGCTCATAATTTTATGGGCTATTGGGAGGTGATGGGAATTTTGGAGGTGGGACCTAGTTGAAGGGAGTAGGTCCTTGGGGGCATGTCCTTGGGGGCTCTGTCTTGTCCTTGGTGTCTTCCTCTTATTTTTCTTTCTTTCTTTGTTTTCTGACAGCCATGACTTCTGAGTAACTTTCGTCTACTATGTGCGGCTGTCATGATGTTCTTTCTTACTATAGGCACCAAAAGTGATGGGGCCAAGTAAACATAGATTGAAACCTTTGAAACCAGGGGCCAAAACAAATCTTTCCTTCTTTAAGTTGTTTTTCTTAGGTATTTTGTCACAGTGATGGGCAGCTGACTGTTACAATATTGTTTACTTATTGTTCTCTTGAGTTTTCTGTAGTGTTGCGTACAATGTGATGTAGTGAAATTGCACATTATATGTTTCTTAATAAATGATTTTGAGGTCAGATAATTTTTTTAGAAAGCTAAACAAACCTTAAAACTCTTCAAAGTTCTCAGGATCAGCTCTTAAAAAGCATAGACAAATATTTAAAGTACAACCAAGCAACAACTAGAAAGTTCACTGTGTCATGCCAATTATGAATGCATATTAATATCAGAGGATGACAGGTGAGACTTGACTTCCAGTACCTTCCTTCTCATTGCTGCACAAACTAATACAGGTGCTTCTCAGTGGCTATTCAGAGACCCAGCTTCAGGATTAGGATTTCTCTTCTCTTTAGGAAATAAATATGGTGTGTGCAGTCCATGGTTAGCATGAGTATAGTTTTATTACAACTTTATTGAGGTACTATCAATGTATAATGAGCTGCATGTATGTGAAGCACACAGTTTGGTCAAATGTGACATATATGCTTGTGAAATGTCATCATAGTCAAGGTAGCAAGACATATTTGCCAATCCCCAAAGCTGCCTTTGGTTCCCAGACAACAAATTGGTGATCTAACTTTTGCTACCAGTATTTTATATAAATAAAATCACAAAGTATATACTCTTTTTAGATTTAGCCTAATGATTGAGATTCACCTATATTTCTGTATAGATATAAATCTAAATCTATCTATAATTTGTTTTGACTCTAAAATGCTCCTTTCTTTCTTTTTCTTTTTCTTTCTTTCTTTCTTTCTTTCTTTCTTCCTTCCTTCCTTCCTTCCTTCCTTCCTTCCCTCCTTCCTTTCCTCCCTCCTTTCCTCCCTCCTCCCCTCCCTCCTTCCCACCTTCCTACCTTCCTTCCTTCCCTCTTTCCTTCTTTCCTCTCTTTCTTTCTTCCTTCTTTCTCCTTTCATCCACTCTCTCTTTCTCCTAAGAAGTATTCAATTGAATGTATATATCACAATTTCTTTATTCTTTCACTCATCAATAGACATTTGGATTATTTTCAAATTTCAGGCTACTACAAAGAAAGATGTTATGAAATCCACATTTTGGTTTAGTTGCTTTTGATTAGAACAGCGGTTCTGAGCGTGGCTCACATCTTTAGCATCAGTAGCACTTAGGAACTGTCAGAACTACAAAAGTTTTTGTTGGTTTGTGTTTGGCAATACTGGGGTTTGAATTCAGGGCCTCCTGCTTGTGAGGCAGGTACTCTACCACTTGAGCCATAACCCCAAACCTTTTTTCTTTAGTTATTTTTCAGATAGGGTCTTGCCTTTTTTTTTTTTTTTTGGTGTTATTGGGGTTTGAACTCAGGGCCTCATGCTTGCTACACAGGTACACTGCCACTTGAGGCACTCTGCCAGCCATGGGTCTTGCTTTTTTGCCTGGGGCTGGCCTTGGATGGCAATCCTCCTACCTATGGCCTCCTGAGTAACTAAGATTACAGATGTGTACCACAACACCTGAATTATTTGTTGAGATGGGCTCTAGTTAACTTTTTGCATGGGTTGGCCCCCTCGAACTGTAGTCCTCCTGATCTCTGCCTCCTAAGTATCTGGGATTACATGTCTGAGCCACTGTGACTAGCCCCAAATTGTTAGACCCCCGTTTTCCCTGCTCCATAGCTGAATGTT